CGTGCCGTACACGTGCGGCTGGTAGCTCGGTATGTCAGGGTTATCGACTATCGCAGGATCGCATATCACTGCGTAAACCATCGGAGCCGTGGGAAGCAGATCGGACGGCTGAGATCTGTCCATCACCGGCCTCTGGGGTGCTGACGTGGCACGATCCTTGCCGGCGTAGATTCTCTTCGAGAGCTTGAGGCCGTCCTCGACGGCGTCGCAGAAAGCGTCGACGTTCATCATCGGTCGCCGGATTTAGATATTGAGGATTTTGAGGCGGAGGGAGATTAATAGACTAATTATTTGTTAATTTCGACGAGTTTTAAGAATGTAATGTCCAAAGGAAATATCGGGATTGGGTTTTCGCATCTGGGGCGGGTGTTTCGCGGTGAGAATAAGGAGAGTCACCGCTACGCGCCAAGCTAACGTCCCTTTGCGTTGGAGGGGCTCGACGCATAGAAAGCGTGCGCGTCGTCGCGTCGACGGCCAATCAGGATCCGACACGTGGACGGATACGAGGAGGCATGCTGCTCGGTTTGTAACGGCCGTGTTGGGGGAGACGGGGGGATTAGGGTTCCGAAGATATCGCCGGCACCGTTACGAGATGGCCTTCGCCGATACTGTTTGTCATCACGCGTCGGTGATGATAGAACAGTTATTAAACCGGGGAAAAGAAAGCCGTTGGAGGTTGAATTTTGAGTGGTGGAGGTGGAAAGCAATGTTTAAAATACCAATAAATTATCATGACTCTGTCTATTTATATACCTCACCATCATCCACAAATGCGTAGATACGGAAGTGAAATTGACCAATATTTGCTGACGCCTGCCAATTTGCAACGGGCTCCACAAATAAAGAGCAGCAAACGCGACAAAGATAATAAATACATAGGGAGGCAAGATACATGAGGAGGGAATAAAGTATCACACACGACTGGCTCAAGATATCGTTAGCGCCTCAAAGAGAGATCAATCCTTGAACAGAATGATTTTACATTTGCTACAAACCGAAGGCGCGATATTGCACAATACATGCCCCGTTGCCGTGACAGACTTGTTGATCAAATAAACCTGTCATCAAAATCACTTAACAATTATCTCATTTTCCATGAAAATGTCCCAATTGACTAACACCCCCTTAAAGGCGAATAAAAGATTATCAAAAATAACTTCTGATCAAATGCTAACTGAGCTTCCAAGGTCATATACATGCAGTTTGTTTTATGTAGAATCTCCAAAGTTCGCCTTGAGTAGGTAAAATCCAGAAAAGAGTGTCAACAGAACTACACATCTTTCTTTCTTTTTTTTTTTTTTTTAAAATGTAAGGCCTGGACGGAGAGGAAATATTTTCTGTTCAAATCCTATCTTCTTCATCGATGATAACGCGGTGAAGAGGGACGATCATGCCTTGATCGCTTATCATCTCTTAGTCCCTCTTCATGCCTTGATCGCTTATCATCTCTTCTACGATCCAAATCATCAACTCGATCACGCCCAGACCTGTACCTTTCTGAGTGTTTATCCCTTTTTCTTCTATCATCATACTCTTCTGGTTTTGAGTCGGACCTTGTTTCTGACTTTTCCTCGCCTCTGTGTCCCTCTTGATCCCTTGTTCTTCTATCTCTATTGGGTTCTGATCCGGAGGTGCGTCGGCTATCTCTATCTGAGGTGTTTTGTGACAAATTCTTGTGACTCTTTGGAGGACCGTCATACCTATCATGGTTCCATCTTGAATCTGTATCTTGGGGACCCCAGCCTGTGTTTGCATTTCTCTGAAATGAGTACATAGAAATCACACGTGAACATGGTGTCAGAAAAATTCTTTAGCAAGAAAGGAACACTTATCGAAACATGCCGTATAAAATTAAACAATGATGCGAAACGTAATTTGAATGGCTGCTAAACATACAGCTTACACAAAAAAGGTTTTCGAAGTAACATACATACAGCTGCTACTATGAATTGGCAATTCGGCAGTTGCCTGTGGCGCAGAAGATTTTTCCAAGAGGATAGTTGAAAGTCTTCCAATAAGAATTAGGAACTTTATACACACTATTTGGCTTTTCCCATTTTTTCTCTCTCTCCTATATACAATTTGAATCAGTCTTCAGAGGGGAAGTTTGTAAATATCCCTCAAATCAACAAGGTTTTTGTTAATCTCTCAACCTATGTAATAAATCCAATTGCTCAAGATATTCATAGGGTTGGGTGCATGGGTATAATTTGTTGATGGGGTTTTAGAGATCAGTCCCCAATAAATAATTAATCTAAAATTGGCCCAAAAAAGACAATATTGTAAACACCTCCCCCAATTTGTTTAACTTACACCAAATTGGTCAACGTCAAACTCAGCTACTTCAACCTATAATTTACTAACAACCATTTGTTATTCCTACTATGCTCTTAGTTGTTGTTGTTGTTGCTGCTCCTACCGGAGGAAGGAAAGATGGGAGAAAAAGGGGCCCTTTTTCTTTTTTTTTCCTTTTTTTTGGGGGGGTTGGGGGGGGTGTGTGGATGTTAAGGGGTTCAGAGAGAACTTTAAAAAAATTTGAAGAGAACAGTAACGTTAAATTAATTGGTGTAGCTTAAACAGATTAGGGTACTTATATTGTAATATTATCAGGGGACTAATTTCAAACTAACTATCTTTTGGAGGACCAATACCTTAGAAACCCTTGTTTTCCTTTTTTTTCCCCAGTTGGGGCTGCAGGTTCTGAATGATTGGAGTATTAAGTAATTCATGTCATAAAAGATCCAACAGTTTATGCAACAATGCCCTTGCTTCCAATGACCAAACAGAAAACTAACATGGTTTTCTAGAAAAAGGGAAGGATGAAATATCTGGAAAACTCAATCAACCGTATAAGTACATTTTTTTTTTTAACCAATATGTGCTTCAGAGAAAAATATAACTTTAGCAATATACTTTCAAGAGCTAAAAATATTACTTACTGAAGGTGAAAATTTACTAACATATGATAATTTTAATTTACTTAATTAATATATAGCTTACCTCCACATCTTTAAACTAAAACTGCAAGATTGGAAATGTTTTTTAAACAACACTAAAGCTTTGAATATTAACATTATTTTCCTCTGAAGTCAGAATTACACTGATTGTTTTATATTATAAGTTCAACTTTATAAGATATTAACATCTGCCCAATGTCTATGTAGAAATATGTCCGGTTTTAGATAGTTGTTCCAAGTATTCTGCAGAGTCAGGGTTGAACTTTTAACAGTCTACGACTCCTTTCATCACTTACTTGTTCGTCATGAGAAAATTTGCAAGAAGCTCCTCGAGTACATTCTCCTTTCTGAAAAGCACGACAAACTCCTCGTTTCTCTCTCTCCTGTTGTGCCTTCTCATCGTCTTCTTCTTCCTCCTTTTTCTTGTATTTAGTCACATGATCAACTCTAACAATTCGACCAAGAATCTTCGCCCCATTCAAATTATCTGCACGAGTAGAGCAGAATAAATTGTCAACAACAATATATCCCAAACAGTTGATAAAGTTAGCAAAAATTCTACCAAATGTGCTAACAACGAAAAATTAAAGTTAAAACACTTACCTACAGCAAGAACTGTACTTCTCTGATCCTCATAAGCAAGGAAAGCAAAACCTTTAGACTTTCCAGTACCTTTATCTCTAACAAGATTAACATCGACGACCTCCCCATACCTAGGAATAGAATAAAAAACAAGGGGAAATCAACTTCAGCATCAACAAAAAAACAATTGCATATCATATTTGTTAACTGACATACTAGGTAAGCAAGGAGGCATGAGGCATCTTCATAAAATAAGTTTGTCAATTAAATCGTGCGCGGAATATTACACAGAATCGGCTATGAAGCACTACTAAAAATCAAAATGCTAAAGGGTCGAAAGACTCGGATGTAAAATGTGCACGCATGAACCAAACCGTCCATCCTCTCTGTCTGACTTGTTATGGCTATATTATTATGTTTGAAACATCTAGCATCGGGACATGAAAATATAGAGATCAACGTTTGAAAAAAAGTCCTTTCTAGTACACCAAATCTCTGATGATGTGGTGCAAGTTGAGGGTTATAATTATGTATACTCTAACATATCTCCGCATCTAGCCAAGGACCAAAACCTGTACTCATCATGTGGTATCTTTCCTAGATCCGCTTTAAATTCATGGCAAGTGAATTTGAACAGGGGCTACTATAATATCATGTCAAATGTCCCTTCCCCTGCACCAAACCTCCAAAGTAGTGGTGAGGCTTGCAGGTTTATAATTTTAAACTATAATATAATTGTAACAAAAGTTTTTATTTTTTCACTTTCCCCAAAAAGAAGCTAAATTTGCATAATCTGTACCTAATAAATCAAACAACATTACGAATTAGGGTTAAATTTTGATAATCCATACACAGGAATTTTACGAATTAGGGCTTAGACTTACTGGGCGAAAACGGCGAGCAAGTCGCCTTCAGTGAGATCGTACGGAATCCCACCGACGAAAACGTAAGCGGAATCTTTGTACTTTGCATGCCATGATGCGTCCTCTGAGATTCCCAACGCCGCCTCCGTCGAATTTATCTTCTGAGTGCGCTTCACCAACGTAAGAGGATTCATCTTCTCTTCTTATTAATTCGCAGTCGGAGTCCGAGCGATCGATGAAATAGGAAACCCTAATATGATCCTAAGGAGGGAGAAGAAAGCTTCAGGAACCGCAAGATTCCTTCTTCCTGATTCAAAATTGGAGAAGAGCGGGGCAGAGATCAAACCCTAAATTGGGGGATATCTCGGCGCTGGCGCGGGCGAGCAAGGAGAGGGAAAAGGAATTTCGTGGGCCTATTAGAAAGCCCAGAGCCAGAAGTGAGGCAGTCAAAGGATGATCATTAGGGACCTGCCAAATTACACTCCCATGGGTTTTTTTTATCAGTGAAAAAAAAGGAAAATTTGCAAAATAGACCGTTTTTATAAAGTAATTAGCAAAATAGGCCATTTTTAAAAGTAATTAACAAAATAAACATTTTTTGGCCAATAGGTCAAAAAGAGGTCGATTTTGAAAAAATGACTTCAGAAAACATACGGGACTAGTAGTCCCGTATGTTTTCTGAAGTCATTTTTTCAAAATCGACCTCTTTTGTCAAAAAGATGTCTATTTTGTTAATTACTCTCAAAAGTGGTCTATTTCGCTAATTACTTTATAAAAAGTGGTCTATTTTGTAAATTCTTGTGAGCATAGTTATGGGCGGTAGGGGTGGAAGTTATTTAAGGAAAAAATAAGGCTGGAATACGTGCAAAATAAAAACTATGCTGTAGCAAAAAGGTGAAAAGGCGGCTTATATGGAAATTAAAGAGGTTACTCTAGAACTTTTAGGTTTTCTTTAGTTATTTAAATAGTAGATACACCCGGATAATTTATTAGGTTGTTTTAAATAACAGTAAAAAAAAGCTGGCTAACTATAATACAGCTAGCCAGGGCCCAGGGGTTGTTATTTAAAACAATTTAATAATTTTTTAAAAAAATAACAACCAACTTAATAAATTAGAGGTGTAAATAAGAGATATTTTTTGGTTGCCTAATTATAAAATGAAGAAAGAACTTAGGATCTAATATCAAAAAACCCAAAAAAAATCATTCATGTAGAGTATGTTTGTTACTGTCTTCTTTAAGTAGAAAAGTTCTTCTATAGAGTATTTACTAAAAAAAATCTAAACTGATTCTTTTGCCGTTAAAGAGAAGTTGTCACCTTATATATATAAGAGGAATGTGATAACAATTACATTTTTTTATTCTTTTTCACTCTGCTTGCTTTAGTATAATCAGGAAAAGGAACACACTTCCAATCATCAACAACAATAACCAAGCATTTATCACAAATGTTTGGGGTCGGTTACATGAATTCTATTTTTCCATTCTATTCTGTTATGAGTCACTTCCTTCGTTAAGTTAGTCTTAATCATATCTTTCTTAATTGTTTCTAACCAAATCAATCTAGGTCAATTCCGTCAGTACTGTGTTCATTGTCAAGCATTGTCTCTTCCAAGTCAGGATAAAAAAAAAAGGTTGCGTATATAGTCGACAGCCATCGTAAAACATAATCGGATCTACATGAAAAATAAATCCTATAAAACACACTTCCAATCACGTACTGAAGATACCAATACCAATACCAATATTCACAAGTCAATTCCACCAAAACGTCAACGATGTTTAAGCTTTTGGCTCATGCAAATGCTCCCTCAAAAGCTTATTATGCTTCTACATGAGAATAGGAAAGGAAGATTTTTATACTCTAGAGTGGCAATTTGCCTATAAAGTCTGTTGCCAAGCTACCAAGATAAAGATGACCTTCAAACTCCAGGGCTGAGGTAACAAATGACATCACACTTCCATTAGAATCATCAACTGTCCTTGTGATAGTCCCATTTTCCGCTACTTTTACTGCCATTGCCCCATTCTTCATAGGATGTATGCTCTTCAATAGCTTTGGAAATGTTGCTACGATGCGCTTGATCAGGGGGATGTTTCCTAGGGATCCTTGCATGATATGAAGTGACTTTTTATATGTTAAATGAGTGGATATAAAGTTTGGTGGACACACTATTCACTATCCACTTAAGTTGACACAAGTTCTCCTCTATATATATATATATAGGGAGAGGTTCTAATAAAAACCTATTTAGCCTAAAAACTAAAAACCAATATCATCCAATGGCTAGGATTCGGTCAAACAGTCAACAGACACATGCATTAATTACCTTATTAAACACATGCATTAATTACCTCAACACAGTGAATCCAGATTCACTATAGTGATTCCAGATTCATGACCTCAATGAACACGTCCTTCACTGCAGTGAATCCAGATTCACTCTGCACTGAATCCAGATTCATTACCTCAACGAACACGTTTTTCACTGCAGTGAATCCAGATTCACTGTAGTGAATCCAGATTTGTGTGTGTTGAGGTAATTAATGCATGTAATTAATACATGTGTCTGTTGACTGTTTGACTGACTCACAGCCATTGGATTCATCTAGATCCAATGGATGATATTGGTTTTTAGTTTTTAGGCTAAGGAGGTTTTTATTAGAACCCCTCCATATATATATATATATATATATATATGAGAAAAATGAGTATTCTTGGTACGAGTAGAGCAATCCAATAAGATCCATCTGGTGCTAAATTGATGTTATCTGGTCCTCCGGGGAGATTGTCGACAAATATTTCTGATTTTCCTTTGCGTTCTCCTTTAAGCCAATATTTTAGGCACTGAAATCTAGATGATCCAAAACGTTCATTGTAATAATACATTGTTACGTGAAGTGGTCAATTTACAAACATCTATATGAACTATAGCATCTCATTTAGCAAAATAAACCGCCAAGATATTATGGGAGCTATGAGTTTCTTTCTTCTAGCAATTTATTTAGCTAAATGGACTATCATCTCATGTTAATTTCCATATGTAATGGTTTTATTCTTCTGGCGAGGATTTCAGGAGTATACCTCCAAGTTTCACAAACTATGAGGAAGTCTTCGTCAGGCGAAAGAGTGACACCATTGGCAAATGCGAGGTCAGAAAGAACCACTGAGGTGTGCTTCGTCACAGGATCATATTTGAGGAGTCGACCGTGAGGTTTGGCTTCAAGAACATCAAGCAACCAATCCGAGAGACCGAATTTACTGGATGCATCCGTGAAGTATACGCTTCCATCGGAAGCTTCAACGGCCTCATCCGCAAATCTTCATGAGGATAAAACAAAGAAAAGGACTCAAACATACATTTAGGCTTTAGCTTATTTATGATTGATAATTATATTATATTTATCAACGTAGCTTGATCTAGTGAAAGACGCATAAATATTCCTATTGGATAGGGCTTCAGCTGAACAATATTATGGAGGCAAACTAGTCATTTTCTAGGGCATTGTTTTGGCGATCATTAATAAAGAGGTGCATCTATTTCTAAAAGGAGCTTTGCTACAGAGACCCAAAATATGTGACCAATAGGAGGGATAAGTGAGGTGTCTCCCTCCTATTGGATAATGAGTTGATCATCCTTAACGATGGCCAACTCATTATCGAATAGGAGGGGGACATCTCACTTGTCCCCCCTATTGGTCCCATATTTTGGGTCCTTAGAGAATTTTTCTTCTAAAAGATAAGAGATTAGGGCTCAATAACTCTTTACTTTTCTACTCATTAGAGCATCTTCAACAGCTTTCCTATTTTATTGGTATTCTCACTTTTAGAGAATTTTGAGCTTTTTTTGGTCCAACAGATTCCCCATCACATTCTCCAAAATAGAGATAAGGGAGAAAAAAAGGGGAGCATTCCCCAAATCTGCAGCATTCTTCAAATTTTTGGGAAGAGTTTTGTCATAAATGTTTCATGTTCTTCAAGTCTCCAACTACTCAAAAAACGACTCAACACTATAAAATGAGGGGGCAAAAAACAAAAAACTCATGTCTTAATCTTTATTGTTAAAGTTCGTGTCAAAGATGTAGAATATTTTTATTATTGTAATAAATACAGGATTCTTTAAAATGAAGAAGCTGTTGGAGTTGGAGCAAAAATAATTTGAAGAATTTGATTTTTGCTTCTGAGAAAATTTTGGGAAAGCTGTTGAAGATGCTCTATCATTATCCATCTTCATCTACTAATCAGTAATCATTATTTTCCGGAACCAGTCGTACTTGATGGCGCGGTTCGAAAATTGACAGGTGGGCCCCACTTGGCCCAGACGCCCAAGACGATCCTCACATTTATTAAAGGAACTTCGTCTCCATGCGGCCCATTCCGTTGAAAAGTCCAAGATAGCTTGAAACCATCGGAAAACGCCACATCGAGACAGGGATGGTGACAATGAGAGGAGCTAGGCTCCACCCAGTTAGTCTAGTTTTGATCGTCTGGTGCTTGTCGGCCCCACCAAGAGATGGACGCGCGGACGATCAGCATTCGTGAAGATCGGGCAAAACCGGCCGGGAGCAATGGGCTTGCTCGTCAGCACGCTCGCTGAAGCTTGGATAAGAGCACCAACTCCGATGAGGGCTTAAATTGTAATTGGCAAAAAATTGTACAAAAATAAATTATTTTTTTTAGTAAAAATACTTTTTATTATCCAGGCCATCTTTGAACCGGCTCCACCTTAATACGATTCTGGCCCGGTTAAGCCCCTTAATCAGAGTTAGCGTGAGGTTGCCAAACACACCTTAATAACTTCGGCATCATTTTAGTACTATCACAATTAGAGTGGGTGATGAGATGAATAATTATTCCTAGAAAAATGATAACTAACTTGGTATATAACTAACTTGGTATACATGCGAATCGAGGAATTCAAATTGACATGAAAGAGTTAATGAGGAAATTTAAGGACCTGATAACGGAGCCGTCATCATCGACGCGAGTAGCAAGAACGTTTACTCCTCCGTCCCCAACCTTCAGCAGCCCCTGCAAGCAGGTAGTAAACGTACGCCTCAGTTAATTACTGCACTCTTAACTAGTGTTTGTTAGCTAGTCTTCTATTGAATGAGTCTAAACTAGCTTGAGGGGAAAATATCAGTCTAGCAAAAAATGAGCAATCCCACTATGTAGTAGCGGCTCTCGTTACAGAGAGCTAGCTAGGAATATACCTGTCAAATTTTATAGCATGCGAAAATGAGAAACTCTTTTTTTTTATAGGATTATGATTCAATTTTGCATCTTTTTGCACGACACCAAGGCGCGTTATTGCTATATGAAATGACAATCACCCTGCAACATGCTCATTTAGATTGTATATAATTCCTTTTCTTTTCATTTTCTTTTCCTTTTTCCCCCCATTAGGCAATTGCATGTGGTGGTCAACAACATAGCCATTATTTCAAGAATAATTTTAGCTACGCTATCCTCTTCCACAATACTCCTACACTATAAGAGAGAAATGTAGGCTCCATGAATCATACAAGACTAGTAGTCCCATATGATTTAATCCCCCATTAAATCATACGAGACTACTAGTCCCGTATGTTTCACATGATCTGTTTTGTAAAATCGATCTCTTTTTGACCTGTTGGTCAAAAAGAGGTCTATTTTGCTAAATATTTAGCAAAATAGATCTATTTTTTTTTCAAATTTCTTCTAATCTAATTCTTACAGCACATAAATCAATACATAATTTTTCTCACCTTATGAGCATCACAAGCTAGGAGATCTCCATCCCTTGACGCCGTGATCCCAAGCACAGCCGGCCCTCCGATAAACCTCCAATCCTCCACAGATCCATCGGGCTGTATCCTCTTTATCCACCCATCCCTTGTAGCCGTGAACAACACACCATCTGGGCCCACCAACACATCTTCTGGGCCCACTAGCTTGCCTTCTCCAAGCTTAATCACTCCCTAATAAAATAAAAATACTAGTACAAGCTAGCAATAATAATTCTCTAAAATCAAACAAATAAAAAGATTTGAGAGAGAGAGAGAGAGAGAGAGACCTGCAAGAGGTTGTTGGAGCAGAATTTTGAAGAGGGGAGAGAGAGGGGGAGAGGGGAGATGGGGGAGTTGAGAGCCACATGAAGAGCAGCAGAGAGTAGAGAGGCCAATACAAAGCCCACTGTTAAGAGGCCACGAGACATTATCTTATCTTCTCAAGAAGTAACTGAGATCGAGAGGTTTGTTTGAGCTTTGATGAGAAAACGCATCAAAATCGGACAAGTCTTGGATGTATTTATGCTAGGGGCACAAAAGGTACTCGTACGCTATAAAACAATTCATGCGCTCCGAGGTGTTGAGAAGAAAATACGACAGCCGAAGTGGGGAAATCCGGAAGAATGTTGTTGAGCCTGCGAAGGGATGAAAGGATACGCTACACAATGTTTACTCTTTTTTTTTTAAATTTTTATTATTTTTTAAGGGAAATTACACAGAAAAGTCCTGAATTTTTGGGGTTTTCCCGTTAACTTGTGTCCTTTTCTTTTTGAATTTTTTTAATCAAAATTTTATCGTTAAATATCCCCGTAATGATGGGATATCTCGTAGAACCCCGCGAAACCTTTAAATGTTGCTAGTGTACTCTCCTAATGGTCTTAATGGTATCGCTGGCCATTATTTTGACCATGCACCAATTGGACTGTGGGGAGGGCCAGTTTGGGGATGAAAATTGAAAGGTCAAGGTGTCTTCGCGAGAACCCCAAACTTCAAGGGGCCTTTGTGAAACTAATCGTTTTCTCCGCTCTCCGATTGATGCTCTGTTTTTGCCCTCGATTATCCACGTCACCAGTGAATAGTGAATAATGAATCGGCCCAAAGCTGCAAAGTGGAGAGAATTTCAAAATCATGAAAGACTACTAGTATCGTGAGAACTTCCCGATTCAAATATATGTAATCATAGCTTCTTCAAGCAAGAACACAAGCATGTAGACCAAGAGTGTTGAAGAAACAACAGACAAATGCCAGAATATGCTTCAAACGTGCATCAGGCAATAATTTTCTAAGGTTTGCTAAGAGTCTACCGCTCCATTAGCAAGTCCATGTTTCCGATGCTGAATGCGTAGCGGTGATAAAAAAAACCAACGCATCAAAACATGAGAAGATAGATACTTTTAGAGAGCAATTCAAGCTTACATGCTACTTTTGGCATGATATGCTACAAGTACAAGCTACTGAACAAATAATCTTCCTCGACCAACAAAGTTGAGAGATCAAAAAGAATATACTAAAAGAATATAAAAAGGCAACAGAAATCTACAACGGTATGTAAGCATTCTGCCTGTCCTAACATTACATTGCTTTTCTGTTCCACATAAACACAGTTGTGTTGGCTTCCTCTTCCCTGTCTAACTCTCATATACACAGATACAAGAATTGAAGTGTGTGATTTTAATTTTTCTTTCTTTTTCTTTTTCTTTTTCTTTTTTTTTTTAATCTTTTTGCGGTGTCAATATATCACAACATGAAGAAGACCAGGTTGAGACTGAGTATATGGAAGGCCTTCATCCAAGAGAAATTGTTCTACAGCCATTGGCAGCCTCGGTGAGACACGAGTACCACTAGTATGATGCCCGGTAACCAAAAGGATTGTTGCTTGGAGCTGCTGTCCTGAGGAGCGTACAGTGCTCTTTAGGATGTTGAGCTCATGTTTCAGCACGTGTAGGGCATCGCTTACGTGAAGGCCATGGAGGTCAATAACACGGTCTTGCCCTCCTCGGTTGTAGCCCTGGAGCTCATAAGAGATCGGATCTCTGGGGAAATCAAGAAATCAAATTATTAATCTGTATCAAGTTTGGATGGTTAATGGTCTTACACAACCATACATAAACATAAATAATAATAATAATAATAATATGTGCATGAAGCGGTAGTTTGTTCAGTAAAATGAACCACGAGAAAATAGACTAATGAGGCTGACCCTGCTAATCAAATCAGAACAAGTGAACCTGATTACTTCTATCTCGCATTCTTTTCTTTTCTTTTCTTTTCTTTTCTTTTCTTTTTTTGTTTTTGTTTTGAGGGAATATCACATCTATCTCTTCATAGCTCATTCTGCTAGCGAGATGACATGATAGCCTCATACTTTCTGTCCCCAAACATTTACGCATGCATTATCAAACTTACCTAGCTTGAATGATCTATGCATTTGCACCTATAGTTTCAGTTCCATAACACGCCTCGGCATTAAGAATAAATATAGCCGGGCAGGATTTCTATTCGAAACAACTATTCTCCTTGCTATGGCTTTTAGCAGCTTTTCTCCCATCAAGTTTTGAACAGCTATCCTTATGAAAACTGACAACTTCACCGGAACTTGGGAGGATGAATATGCAACAATTATTTGCAGAAATAACATGTTTAAGATAGCTACAGAATAACAGACCTCTTATGATAAATTGGGCCACCATCTTTCAGTTGAGCAGCTTTCATCTGCATGTTGTAAAACTGCCCCTTCTCACTCAGTTCCCTTGCCAGAGCCTTGTTACCAATCAGATATGCTTGACTTGCCTGTAACATAAAAAAGATGAATTAGTGTTTGATGTTGAATCTATCTTACTTGGATGCGGCGAAGTGTAAGCCATACGAAATCATAACGAGGATTCAACTCCCAAATCTTGAAGTAATACAGTAGCCGAACTTTCCAATAAGTTCAGTCTGCATATAAAACCACATGCATAAGTGTGAGCAAGCGCACGCGTATGTGTGTGTATGAGGATTGTGGACACAAACTTGAAAATAACAATGATAGAAGGTGCATTTAAGACCGAAGAAAACATGAGTGATGGTACCAACCCAATGCTCAGAGGCTAGATACTACAACTCCTTACCTAAGATCAATTTAACCTTCTAACTATTGGAAGTTTTAAATGTGAAACAGAAGGTAAATATGAAAGGAAGATCTGCATAGGAACAGAAAATCTGTCCCTGAAAACCTTCTGGAAGATCAAACATCAACTCATGAGATTCAAAAAAGACGCACAAAGAAGAAAACTTATCCAACGCCTTTGCAAAGAATAAGTAATGTCATTTGGATCTTGTTACGCCCTTATGGAGGTGAAATGTTGAGCCAAAATATGGTGCTGGAGAACCGCTTTCTGTAGTAATAGCAGCAATGAATATTCGATACTTTAGAACATAATGCAGTCTAAATCATGTATTAGATATAAGGCGAAACCCAATAAGATAAAATAATTGAAGAACAGACACATTAAACAAATCTTACATGTATCACCTCATAACTGCGTTAAGCAGGAAAACAAGCAGACACATTGAAACAACACCAACCACAAAATCCTTGCAAAAAATGATCATTAACAAATTTGTTTTGAATTAAGAAACAAAAAAGGTCTCTACGCTTGTGTGGATAAAATGTTGTCAGAGGCTAAAAAGGGAAAAACAAATCTAAAAGGAAAAGCCAAGAGGAAAATAGAACAGAAAAGACAGGTTTTTTTTGGGTCGCGGTGGGGGGGGGTATCCAAAGAAGTTGTCAAATCATGTCCTATAAGTGGAAAAAGGGAAGGGTATTTTATGCTATAATTTCAACAGCAAGTAAAGGACGTGATACATTATTTTTGTGAGGTCAAACTGCAAGCAGACTAAATAACAGGAAGCAAATTTAAAATTCTTCCTTGCAAGAAGAATAGAAGTTCCATTCTTCCCCTCTATCCCCTTCTTCTCTATATCTTTCTTCCATTTCCCTCTCTTCTTTTCCTTCCTTCCCCCTCCTTTCACATTGATAATGAAGGTATTGGTAGAAGAAGCAACGGCGGTATTCTCATGTGCTAAGTTAGTTAACCAAAGTGCTAGGGCGGTATGCATAAATGTCACCCTTGATTAGATAGCTAAAAGTGGAACTCTCACAACTAACAAGCCTACTTGGGTAATAGATAAGAATCAACAGCACTTTCAGAATTATCAAATAAAGCGGCAGGTAAAGCTCACTGTGCTAAAATAGGCAAGCACTCGGAAAGGCTGACCGCGTAAGTTATGTACTAGACTAAAAAAAATCCTCAAAATGGACAAAAAAAGGAATCCTTGGACTGACAGAATAGTCACTACTTAACAAAAGATGAGTTTTGGCATTTCCTTATCACATTTATGATACCTCTTACTAAATACTAGTGTATTTATTTGTTTCCCCACATGAAACACATGTAATATACCCTACATTCAACTATATCCTTGGCCAATTTCTCAGCTTTTCAAAGGCTTCTTCATTATCTTCTCTCATCCAATTATTTTATATCATTGAACTCCTAATTACAAATGCTGACTTCTGTCATTCTCTTTTCATGATCACAGTTCGACAAAAAAACAACAAAATGATTATCATTTATAATTATAAGAAACTAATGATTATCTGCAGCAAGCAAATATGAGAAAAGAACACCATGAAGAAATATTGGATATAGTTAAATCAAACTAAAGATTTGGACAATATGATCAATAAATGTTGAGGGCTTAAATATGGATGTATCAGGGATATCTGCAAACTTGTACCTGCTCCAAGCATGCATCTCGAAGCCGTGCAAGATCACGAGCTTCCTCCATCGACTCGGAATACATATTTGCTGCCCTCCCAACAATGGGTGATACACATTGGTAAAGACAAGGTACCCATATTTAATGCATAAGAAACTTTCAAACTGTTAAGAGATATTGTTGGAAAGTATTACCCACTGCTTCTCCGGTCTCGAGACAAATTGGAGCTGTCCAAGATGCATCTAGACTTGGAGACTTGTTTCCATAGAGAAGTTTTCCGTGGCCATTGTATGATGGGTTGGCAATGAGTTGTGCACTTCTACTTGAGCTGATAATGCCATCTGGATTACCATTCCTGCCAGGTTTCCAGTTACTACTATCTAGGGATGAATTTTTTCTAGCAGTAGATACATAATCTGTAGACCCTCGAAATACACTGGAAGTTGATCTATATGGCTCAGGAACTTGGTGAAAATCTCCAGTGTAGTTTGACAGCCCACTCCGAGCTTCTGCCACTGAAAGTGACTGGAAGTCTAGTTTGCTCAAGCTGGGAGCACTCACGGACTTTGAGTACAGGTTCTTACTCAACCCGCCATCTCCCTGAAGCTGCCATTGAAATCAAACAAATTTTCCATAAGAGAATAAATCTATCATGAAGATTATGAGAGAGCGACAGGGAAACTACTGTAACAAACATATAGTATTAGGCAAACAGGACGTAATCAGTCTTTCTCCAAATTTGTCA